TAAATATGGCGACAAAGATGAGGACAATAGTCCGAATAATGTAAATAGTGTACATAATACCTCATCTCAGAAATATAGACAGATACTGAAAGGCCGAAACGTTGTAATAAATATGGCGACAATGATGAGGACAATAGTCCGAATAATGTAAATAGTGTACATAATACCTCATCTCAGAAATATAGACAGATACTGAAAGGCCGAAACGTTGTAATAAATATGGCGACAAAGATGAGGACAATAGTCAGAATAATGTAAATAGTGTACATAATACCTCATCTCAGAAATATAGACAGATACTGAAAGGCCGAAACGTTGTAATAAATATGGCGACAATGATGAGGACAATAGTCTGAATAATGTAAATAGTGTACATAATACCTCATCTCAGAAATATAGACAGATACTGAAAGGCCGAAACGTTGTAATAAATATGGCGACAAAGATGAGGACAAAAGTCCGAATAATGTAAATAGTATACATAATACCTCATCTCAGAAATATAGACAGATACTGAGGGGCCGAAACGTTGTAATATATATGGCGACAAAGATGAGGACAATAGTCCGAATAATGTAAATAGTGTACATAATACCTCATCTCAGAAATATAGACAGATACTGAAAGGCCGAAACGTTGTAATAAATATGGCGACAAAGATGAGGGCAATAGTCCGAATAATGTAAATAGTGTACATAATACCTCATCTCAGAAATATAGACAGATACTGAAAGGCTGAAACGTTGTAATAATATATGGCGACAAAGATGAGGACAATAGTCTGAATAATGTAAATAGTGTACATAATACCTCATCTCAGAAATATAGACAGATACTGAAAGGCCGAAACGTTGTAATAAATATGGCGACAATGATGAGGACAATAGTCTGAATAATGTAAATAGTGTACATAATACCTCATCTCAGAAATATAGACAGATACTGAAAGGCCGAAACGTTGTAATAAATATGGCGACAAAGATGAGGACAAAAGTCCGAATAATGTAAATAGTGTACATAATACCTCATCTCAGAAATATAGACAGATACTGAAAGGCCGAAACGTTGTAATAAATATGACGACAATGATGAGGACAATAGTCCGAATAATGTAAATAGTGTACATAATACCTCATCTCAGAAATATAGACAGATACTGAAAGGCCGAAACGTTGTAATAAATATGGCGACAAAGATGAGGACAATAGTCCGAATAATGTAAATAGTGTACATAATACCTCATCTCAGAAATATAGACAGATACTGAAAGGCCGAAACGTTGTAATAAATATGGCGACAATGATGAGGACAATAGTCCGAATAATGTAAATAGTGTACATAATACCTCATCTCAGAAATATAGACAGATACTGAAAGGCCGAAACGTTGTAATAAATATGGCGACAAAGATGAGGACAATAGTCTGAATAATGTAAATAATGTACATAATACCTCATCTCAGAAATATAGACAGATACTGAAAGGCCGAAACGTTGTAATAAATATGGCGACAAAAGATGAGGACAATAGTCCGAATAATGTAAATAGTGTACATAATACCTCATCTCAGAAATATAGACAGATACTGAAAGGCCGAAACGTTGTAATATATATGCGACAAAGATGAGGACAAAGATGAGGACAATAGTCTGAATAATGTAAATAGTGTACATAATACCTCATCTCAGAAATATAGACAGATGTTTAGCCATTGAATAGTGTTTCTTCATCTCAGAAATATAGACAGAACTTTCGTTTCCACAATTCGACAAAGATGAGGAAAGTCTGCTAAGAAGAAACATCCGGTAATACTCATTTTAAGGCTGTTATTAATCCTTAATAATTTTGTTTCCTATGATTTTTTTATTATAACATTATAATACCTCGGTGTGGTGTAATGGTTGACAAGCTTGACTCGCTTGACGACCGAATAGTGCGTTCGATCCTCACTGGGTGCTCCATGCTTTTGGCCTTGTTCCACATCTAAGCCACACTTAGAAAATCAATGACTTTATAACATTTATATATATTAATTAGCTATGAAAATAAACCAATATTGTCTTTATTAAAAATAATAAACACTTAATTCCAACGGATAATTTATTGTTAAAACAGATATTTTCGGAAAGCTTTTTGTAATCCCTGATCACTCTTGAGAATTAAATGAAACAGTGACTAAGCTATATTTTATACGTTATAAATTCAAATTAACAAAAAAAGAAAGTTCGATCGAATTCAGTTCGCGAGAAATGGGTGAGAATTGCTTAAAGATAGAAAGAAATGCCATTTCCAAATCAGAGTAGTTTTTTTATATTTTCCGACAAAGTATGGAAGTCCATACTGGTGAAACTGTCATCTGAAATATCAATTCTATTACAAAACATTTTCTGTACTTAGTTATTATCAAATATTATAAATATTGTCTTTCATTAAGAATGAAAAGAGAAACATTTATAAAATACAATAAAAATAAAATTGTAAACACTTTATCTTGTGAGCAAAGCTGAGCAAAGTTGCTTAATTATGATAATTCCCAAAGAATAAATATTGCTAAAATAACAAAGACATTTTTTAAATAATTGTTATCAACACCTTCCGACTTTATCTATTGTGCTAAAAGGGGGTATTTGCAAATTTCCGTTTCAAATAAGAGAGTTTTTAAGTTGAATAAGCGGTTTTGAAAACATGGACCTTTGCATAATACGACCCAGCTTTTTCCTTTTAATTTTTGTTCAAAGCTTCTCGTATTATACACAAGAGAATAGGATAATCCGATTTATTCTAGACTTTCTTCTTACAAAAGTTACAAAGTCTCTCTGAAGAAAATTAAAAGGGAGAAAAATATATAAAAAGAAAGAAAACCAAAATATATACAAACTTTATCTTGTTGTGAAAACTGTTCTAATTTTAAATATCTACTGAGTAAAAGTGTTCTAATTTGAAATATCTTGTGTGGATAAGTGTTCTAATTATAATATCCTGTGAGTAAATGTATTCTAATTTTAAATATCTTTTGGGTAAAAGTGTTCTAATTTCAAATATCTTGTGAGTAAAAGTTATCTAAAAAATTAGAATATTTTTATTCAAACGTTGTAAGAATATTTAAAATTTACCTCAAGAAATATAGACAGATTTACTCTCTAGGTATTTAACCTAGAGAGTAAAAGTGTTCTAATTTAAAATATCTTGATAGGATAAGGTTCTAATTTTAAATATCTTGTGTGTAAAAGTGTTCTAATTTTAAATATCTTGATAGGATAAGGTTCTAATTTTAAATATCTTGTGTGTAAAAGTGTTCTAATTTTAAATATCTTGTGAATAAATGTGTTCTAATTTTAAATATCATGTGTGTAAAAGCGTTCTAATTTTAAACATCTGAGTAAAACTATTCTAACTTTAAGTATGTCAACAAACGAAGGAATATGAAACAAACTCCCTGCGTTTGAATTTACAAATTAAAAAAGCTGAAAAACTCCTAAATGTATAAGACATTTCATTTGTTACTTTTTTTTAATCAGTTTCGGTGAATTTTCTCTCATTCAAACAAAAAAACGTTCAATTTCCTAAAGAATAAATCTTGCCAACATATGAAATACCTTTTGTAACAATTGTTATTAACATCTTTTGTTATTAACAATTGTTATTAACAGATTTTGTGTTTTATTACATACAAGCTTAAATGCCTCACTTCGATCAGATTTTAAGCTAACTCCTGAGCATGGCTAATTGGACCTCCAGCCTAAAAAGAAAGGGATCTTTAGTTAAACTTAGAAAACAGCAAAAATAATTTCGTAGAAATAACTTTAAATTTTTTTCTCACAATATTATATTACAAATAATATGTTTTACAAAGGTTTGAAAAATATTGAGTTTTACATGCAAAAGCATATTTTGAAATATTATAAAGCCAATAAAATTATTGCAAGGCCTATAGCATAGATGACAGATATGCCCCAGAGTCTTCACAGGGTTAAGCGGATGTTGCTGTGGTAGGTCATCCTTGTGTACCACCCTATGCCTCTTCAATCCAGATGTCGATTCACACACTCCCCTGCATTTCTAGTATCACTGGGTCGTGGAGGTAACACAAAGTAAGATCGTCTCTCATGTGATTTCAAATGATTAACATACCCAGTTTTTGACAGTAGGATATGACTACATGTCTCGCATTTCCAGCTTTCAGTGCTGTCATCCAAGTTCCTGGTAATAGCTTTCCTCAAATCCCTTTTCAATGCTGCATGAGCTAAATTCTATTCCTCTGCAAACTTACATCCTTCTACAACAGCCCTGTGTCACTTATTATGATCAGTAGCAAGGTCTTCCCAGTCATCCACTCCGACCCTAAGCATCAAGTTATTCCTCACACTGTCCTTAAATCTCTTTTTTGGCTTATGATGAGGGCGCTTACCATTTGCAAGCTCGCCATAAAATAGCTTCTTCGGTAAATTACTGTCATCCATACGTACCACATGTCCGGCCCATCTCATTTGGGTTTTAATCAGTACGTTTTCTATGCTTGGACCGCAGGCCCCGAGAAGAACAGTGGTTTTTGGTATCATAGACAGCCACTTTTGATTGTTCCTACTTACATAGTTACATTCACTAGTTTGCGAAAACTTTAAACTTTGCTCATAGAAAATAAGAGAAATTTGGCAATCATTAAATATAAAAAAAAACAAGACAGGAAATTATGCTTACATTAATTTTATTATTTGTAAAACAACAATTTTAATGAGAAGGGAAAGCTTAGTCGTTTACAAATATAAAAGCGTTAATTTTCATTGTCACCAGACAACGAGCGCCGCCATTTTTTTAATATAATGTTATCTGTCTTTAACAGATAATCATCAAGATGGCGGTAAAAGCATCACTCCTCCCATGAAACATTGAGAGAAGAGTTTAGAGTGCATTTTTGCTTCACCCAAATGAATTTTATTCTTATTTATTGGTTTTCCTTCATTTAATGCGTTTGAGGCAAATATAACGTCTCGGGGTTTTCTTTAGAAAGCGGTGTTGTTGCGTTTTTTGATATAAGAGGCGATTTTGGGGTGAGCTGAAACACGGCTCCTCAGACCAGCAACTTTGGGATATTCCTTCAGGAGATTGGCATTTTCTTGTACCGGATTTTCCAGGGCAGCATAACACATCATATCACAAACCAGCATCTAAGTGAAAGAAATTAAATGAAATTGTGATAATAATAAAAAATGTTAATACCAAGATTATGAATATTTAAACTATCAAGGAATAAATACACAAGAAAAATTACATTTTATATACCGTGCCCTTTTTGCTTAAACTTTGTATTTTCTTAATTTCTGACAAAAACATGGAAACTCTCCAACATATTTCAGTGAATTGTTCACTTTACAGAATTGTAATTTATGAAGAAATATAGTCTTAAGGTATGCTATATTTATGGGATAAAGTGCTCAATATCAGAGATAGAGCGTGTGTAAATATAAAAGTGAACATAGAAGTCAGCACTTAGAGGCGACAGTCTGTTTTATGCTAGACGCAATCGTCAGGCCATCGTAAACCTTAAAGCTTGCTCATAGCCATAGAATTGTAATTTATAAATAAAGTTTAGATATACCCCAAAAGGTGTTACTTTAAACTGACCCTAGAAGACGATAGGTTAATACTTCTACGCTTTCTTTTTCTTCTCTCCGAATAGGAATAGAAACAAAGGTTTGAATTTACAAATTACCGTCCGGTTTGTTTTTTTTTTTAATCAGTTTCGGTGAATTTTCTTTTGAACAAACGTTAGAGGTTTATCTCTTGCTTCTGGTTTAGGATTGGATTTCCGGTTTCTTTCAGAGTCTATTTCAACTCTGTACTCCTAATGTCTTCGCCTAAACTTTGAATTTTTTCACTAATTATTTATTTTTTGTTTTACCAATAGAAGATAGGTTCGCTTTCTGTTTTTTGAACAGGAGTAGAGGTTTATCCCTTTTTTCCTGTTTAGGTTGGATTTCCAGTTCCTTCTGAATTCTACTTCAACTTTATATTTCTGTCTCCGCCTGAAGTTTGAAAATTTTCCACTAATTATTTATGTTCTCTTTCGCATATAGGTGTAGATAGGTTCGCCTAACGTCCGGTTCACTTACTCCCTCCCAAGTTTTGAACAGGAGTAGAGGTTTATCCTTTGTTTCCTGTTTAGGATTGGGTTTTGGGTTAATTTCAGAGTGTATTTCAATTCTGTATTCTTAATGTCTCCGCCTAAACTTTGATTTTTTGTTCACTAATTTTTTTTTTTTTCATTATCCAACAGAAGAAAATATGTTCGACTATCGCCCAGTTCCCACTCCTGCCAAGTATTTTTGAAAACAGGATAAAAAAAAAAACAAGACAGGAAATTTTATCCCTTGTTTACAATTTTTGAGGTTGGATTTAAAAGTTCCTCTAAATTTTCTACTTCATCTTTATAATCATCAAGATTAATGACTCCATGAAACCTGAATTTTGAAATTTTTCCACTAATTATTTATTTCCTCTTTTCCCAATAGGAATAGATAGGTTCGCCCACCGTCCGGTTCACGCTCCTCTGGAGTTTTTTGGGGGGGGGGGCGCAGGAGTAGATGTTTATCTCTTGTTTACTTTTTAGGATTGGGTTTCCAGGTCCTTCTAAAGTCTAATTTCACACTATACTTCTAACGTCTTCGGCTGAACTCTGAAATGTTATTCACGAATAATTAATTTATTCTTTATTGCTGTTGTTCCCAGGCCCACCCTGACCCGGGGTAATAGCACTTGTCACTGTCCCAGTTATGGAGAAATAGTTAAACCCCAAACTAGCATCAAAACACTATGAAAATATAATAATATGTATTTATCGTAAACCTTAAAGCTTGATACCAGAAATATATTTTTGAAAAAAACCAAAAAAAAAACAATTTAACACTGACAAAACGATCTTTACAAAAATACATCAACAAAACGTGATAACACCGTTTTCAAAACTAGGATTAGCTGCTATCATTCCTGCATAACTCCAAGAATTCACTTCTTATGCTTTCTTATGCTAATACAATGCCACACAGTAACCTCTACCTTGAGTGGCTCTTGGGTTTTGTATTTGGTGAAAATTAGTCCAAAAAACAAAACAAAAGATGGTTCCTGCGTGCCGGTCTTGTTCAACGACTGATCACACTAAATTATGCACTCTCTCTGAGAAAATGTAATCTGCTCAGTATCGTACAATATAAACTACTGGTTGTCTGTGTTGGTTTTGAAGAAACACAACAGTTTCTAAGTAGGAATTACTTATCAAACTATAGTAGACACCATACCTTCTTAATGTTCCCCATGCTGATTTTTGGATTATTATCATCTTTCGGTTGCGTCTCTCTCTTCGGCGAGGTGCAACTCACTTGTGGCTCTGTCCGCGGACAGACTGTGAGGTGTCCGATCCCGGGGAACAGCTGACCGAGGCTGCACCGCTAGAGAGTGGAGATCTCTGGAGTTTTACTAATGCCAGCGCAACCGACATTTTTTTCCTGGCCCAAATCTACGGTCTCGTGTTCCCCACATTAAACCCCACCTTGTGTCTCATCCTGTGTCAGTGGGGAGACTCACTGTAAATGGATAAATAGTAGACTCCTAGGATCAAAACTCACTGAAAAACCACGAATATTTATAGTAAAACTTCGTCCTGGGTATGACTATAAACTACATCTGACAGCAAGGCCTCTGGTCAAAATGCTTTGAGGAACGTGGAAACACCCATTAATTGCTGTTGTTAAATGACCCATTCAAGTCAACCCTGACCTGGGTGGTAGCACCTGTTAGGCTCCAATCTATGGGTAAATAGTTACCCACAAACTGAGGTCAAAACACTATGAAAGTATAATATACTTTTATAGTAAAAATATCAACAGTACATTTTTGAAAAGAATAAAATATTACCAGCAATACATTTGACACTTGACAAAAACCTCTTTACAAAAATACGCAAATGAAACCTGATCTACAAACTGATTTCTTAAAAAGAATACACATTCGTACGAACCTATCCTAAAAATCACGACGCCATTAAAAAAAAAACAATGAGGTGTTGATATGCCGCAAAACAAAATAAACCAAACCTAACCCAAACTAATGCAGACTTTTATCAACGTTACCATATTCTGTGCATTTACCATTATTAGGTTTTTATATGTGAGTTTTCAAATATATTTTTGTTATACTGGAACATTACCTATTTTATTATTAATAGACTCTCCCATACATAATAAGTAGTAGTAGTAGTAGCGGTCGCCAGTTGGGCTCAGTGGTGTTGAGCGAGCCAGTCGATATCGGACATTGAAGTATCAACCATCACAACTAGATTGCTGCGTCATTCACTATTATTTCCAAGGTCCTGACGTTTTTGTACGTCGGAACTAATTTAGGACCGACTTAGTGAAATACAAGCCTCCACTGTGAAAACTACTCTACAACACATTGGCGACGAGGAATTCGTTTCTCATAAAGGGAAAAGAAAAATTTTTCGTTCACTCTATAACAACTTTGGCGACCAGAATTCGAAATTCATACAGTGAAAAAAAAAATTCGTTTTGCCATATACAACAATTTTTCAGTTATTATACGCAGGTATTAAAGTCAAAAAAGGAATGCATTAAGTGTCATGATCGCTTCCGTCTTGAAGAAACATGGAATTAAAAAAAAAACATAAGGGACAACTTACTTGATCACCAATGAACCAGCCGCTGCCGCCTTTGTTGGCTTCCAGAGTCTTTTCCAAGTAAGGGAGAACTCTACGACAAGTGTTTGCATACCTCTGTTGCAATTCAGTCTACAATATCAAGAAAAATGGGCAATTAGGCCGATGGTGTATAAACATCAAATAATCGTATATAGTTTAGATATACGGAGAAAAAGGGCATCAACTTAAATTGACACTTGGAGGATATGGTTTAATATTAGTTGATCTATGTCGACATAACCGGAAGCTCAATGTAACCCGCCATATCATCCTGGCGTCAATTTAAATTAACACCATTTTTAAATATATTATGACCTTTTGCTTAAAGTTCATATTTTAATAGTTCTAAAATATTAAGGAAAATTGGGCATTTTATAAACGTCAAATTAGATAACTACCATTTATTTAAATTTATTTTAATTTTTCAGTGACGACAAATTTAGCATAGGAAATAAAGAAATTGACCACTGAACAGATGGCCTGGAGGTATTCCAGATGTTATTCGTTGCTTGTTTTTTTTTACGGATTATCAACCCTTCAGAGTGTTATTTAAAGCTGAAACATATTTTGGCTAGTAAAAATGATCTTTGTCTTCGGAATGACAATCTTTATTTTCGGAATGACGATTTTTTTCTTCGGAATCCGGATTTTTATCTATCTTACATATTCATAAGTCTACCTTTGGTCTGTGTTTTAAATGTTGCTGCCATATATGGGCTGGTATCTCAGTTTTTATTTTGAGATTCTTAATTAAAAAAAAAAAAAAAAAAAAACCAGAAGAATGCGCAATATTATTGATCCTGACCTGGCATCTCAGCTTTCTCACCACTGTAACGTTGCTTCCCTCTACCTTTTCTATATTTTCATGGTAATTGTTCTGATGAAATTTACTCTTTGGTCCTTAGACTTTATGAATTTAGCTCACTACTAGATTGGCAACAAGGCCTCATCATCGTACAGTTGAAATGACTTGATTTAACAGTAAATCCTTTGCTAATAGGTTCTTCTATTACACTTCTCGCTTGTGGAACTCTCTTCCGGCTTCTTACATCCAGTGAAATTCAATCCTCAAAAATTTAAATGCAATGTCAATTTTTGTTGGCAATTGCTTAAAACAATATTATCAAGGTTTGACATTTCCCCATATGGTGTCTATGTAATTAGTATTATAACAATATGGTCAACTTCCGGAGCAAATTAACGGTAATGGGCATCTATATACATACAAATCGCTGGAACATTTAAAAATGAAAATCGATTAGAGAACCTTACGTTCACGTGTTGGGAGAAATC